TATCTCGAGTAATATTTTACAAGAATATTTATTGCATTATTGCACTTGGTTTATCTTGCAAAAATGTAATGTTTGTACAGTTAACGTGGGGCACATATATTTAACTTTCAATGTTTGATGCTATTAGAAGAAAATTTATTTTTCAATAATGTTACACACGTCAAACATAATAACAACAACAACAATCATTAATTCATACTAATTACAAAAAGTCTCCGACTAATTACAAAAAGTCAGAGAATACTCAAGAGGAAATTTGTGCTTCTGTGTTTTTTGACTATCTTTTTACCACTGAAGAGGGTCCATGAATGGACCGAAACTCGTTTGGCGACAATAAATAAGTAACAAATAAATTTCTCCCACATCTATGGAGAACAGTCACTAATTTTAGTAGTTTTCATCGCACTTTAATATCTGTGCTTTTTTAATATCCTTTTTGTATTTTTGACTCAAGAGGAATTTGGTCAACAAAAAGGAAGGACTTTTATCCCGGGATGCGTGTATACATGTGAACATAACTTTCAGAAACCAAATTCTTTCTTCTGTATGTACGAATATTAAAATAGATAACCTTTTAAGAGACAGGCGTTACCTTGACACACAGAAATAGGCATTCGTGAAGAATCCAGCGGCGGTAGGGCCGGAAATGGTCGTAATCCAACGAAGAAATAATTCGCGAAAGGCACATACGAGCTACTGCACGAGCCCGACCGTTATGCTACTTGCACGTAACACAGAAGAGGCTGATCTGACCCTTGCTACGACATACACACAGCGGCGTTTCTCTCCGCAAGACTCAGGAAAGTACAGCGGTTGTAATCTCACAAGTACGGGAAGATAAGAGACCGTGAGACTATGGTTTAACACTGCGAGAATAAAGTTAACGACGTATAACAACCGAGATATGAAGAATAAGATACATGTGCACACGTACGTACACATGCCTCGCGCTATTTTTATCATCCGTCACATTTTAAAGTATAACGGGACTACTCGTCCTCCTCGAATACCCTCAGTGCTCCATTTCCATGAGATAATAATATCACTGATAATTAGAGAAAGATAAAAGATTTAAAAAATTTGCAGCAAAAATATCTGCACTAATGTAAGAACTGATGTGTTAAATTTAACATTTCATGTGTCCCAAAGCATTCACTCTCATTTTTATGTAAATTTAACACAAAACAAATGTGATAAAAAGTAACACGCATAATATGTAAAAAATTAACACAAGAATTTAACATTTGAATACCGTCAGTGATCACTGTTTGTGTTAAATTGACATATGTATAATGTTAAATTGACTAAAATAAAACGTTTCTTTAACATTTGAGAGAAGTATTAATCTATGGTTTTGATGAAATGAAAATGTTAAATTGATATAATCTATGTCTGACACATTAAATATGTCAATTTAACACAATCTGTGATTCCTAACGATATTCAAATGTTAAATTCTTGTGTTAATTTTTTCCATGCGTGTTACTTTTTTAACACAGTTTTGTGTTAAATTTACGCATAAATGAGAGTGGATGATTTGGGACACATGAAATGTGTTAAATTTAACACATCAGTTTTTACAGTGTGCGCACTGAGAAACATTTCTAAGGGGAGACATTCGTTTATCGGCTCCATCGCCGAAGAGCTGCACTTTTCGGCAAGTATAATTAGCACATGCGTTGTTTTTGAAAGAAAAACAAGTAAGAACGAGAGAAAGAATTCCGCCCAATTTCCATTCCAAATTGCATCGCGCACGCGAAGATGCGAGCAGCGCCGTTAACGGCAGGAAACATATGTCTCTGAAATACTCGGTTGTGATTTACGAGGAACAACAGCGTCGTTGCGCTTAGATGAGGGGGTCACTACTTCCGCGCGCGCCTTCATCTAGTTATATGTTTCGGTTAAAGTCCCCGAGGAGAACGTCGCCCTTTGCCTGCTTCTTTCTCGCGTGTACGGCGGGATCCTTTGGATCTCTCCCGGGGTCCTTGCCACTTTTCCTGGCTCCCCAGCGCCCAGGACCGACGAAACCAATAAGGGCAGGAAAAACGGGATAGAGGACTGCGATGCCGCAGAGAGAAGACATATATTCGGCCCGACGTGGATATATGTGCGCGACGCGCGCGCGCGCTCAAATATATACATACGACTGTCCGTGCACGCATCGTCCACAAACACACGTCGGTAACCCTAACCCCGCGAATTAATATTCCATACGCGCTGTTTGCACGAGGCTTCGCGGATTGCCAATGGCGCGCCGCGGGGATGTCCCGGACCCTCCGGAAACACCGTGCGAGAGAGGACAAAGAGACCGGGACGAGTTTCGCCGCGGGATCTATTTTATTCGTTACACAGACAATACTGGATTCTACGTCTCTCCGCCTACCATGGAGAATAAGATTCTGCAAAACGGATCGGCGACATTAGGAAAATGCGAGCTGCGAGCCGGCTGGCTCACACGATTCTGCAGAGATTCCCCTCCCTCTTCACCCCTCTCTGTCTCTCCCTCTTACACACACAACACATACAGACACACACGATCCCTCATCTTCAAATTCAAATTCAAAGTAGTTGAGATATTGCACATGATTTAAAAATTCACTGAATATTTAAGTATTCAATGCAACATGTTTTTCTTTTCCCTTTACATTGTATGAAAACTTATATGTCAAAACATCTTACAAATCTAGATACACCGTTTAATATCTAACGATGTTAGTTGTGTCTCGACCACGTATGCTCATCATGAAATATCACATTCCGGAAACAATCGTACCTTTTTCTTCTTTTTTTTTAACGAAAAATGAGTGATACAAAGCAAAACGGCCTGATACACCGTGTACAAACGGATTTCAAGAGAAATGGGCGATCAGCAAATAGGAAGAGGGCCTGGGGGACCGTGAGACGCATAAACCGATACTGTTATTTCCAAATATCCGCAGCCGTACGCGACCACTCGATGCCTCCATTTCAATGTTCCGCCCTTGCGAGCGTAAAAGTGGCGAAAATTCGACGGGATATAAGGGTGGGAAGGCAAGAGAAGACGGGAACAAAAACTCGCCGGCAACACCACGATATAACGGCCATCGTGGGCCGAAAAAAGCATGCCGTCGAGATGCAAATTTTCGCGAATAAACGAGAGGAATTAGCTTAACACTCTTTTCGTTTTTTGCATCACGTCTGCCGCCCCCCTCCCCTCCCGTAGACGGAAGTAAAACAGGCATGCGTAATTTCCTATATGTTTTTATTTCGTTTGTATATCATAGATATAGCTTATGAGTATAATTCTACATCAAGTTTCGAAAATGGATACATTTACATTCATTGTCAATGAATTATCAACTCGCTCTCTCTCTCTCTCTCTCTCTCTCTCTCTCTCTCTCTCTCTCTCTCTCTCTCTCTCTCTCTCTCTCTCTCTCTCTCTCTCTCTCTCTCTCTCTCTCTCTCTCTCTCTCTCTCTCTCTCTCTCTCTCTCTCTCTCTCGCCATCACTGTCGTTATCATCGTCATCACTCTCTCGCCACATCAGCTCTTGTCGTACGGTATAATACTAATCATTAATAGTCAGTAAGACATGAGACTTCATTATTCCGTTACTCTTATTACTTAACGTGGTAGGTAGGTATTGAAGGACAGCTACGCTCCCTTATCGTTATAGTATTATATTAATTAGGTATCGTCGATACGTCAAGACCCGCGGATTCATTCGTCTTAATTAAATAATTTTCTCCTGCGGCTCTCCACTCACTGGGCGTTAACGTTACAAGGTATTTAATATTTACATCGAGAATCGTCGAAGTAACGTACAGCTGCTTTTCTTTCCATCCACTCGATAAACATAGAAAAGTAATATAGCTAAGTTTGTATTCTCTACATTCTTCGATCGTTTGTGTGCGAGGATTTGAAGATTGAACAACTCAAGTTGTGAACTAGAGACGAGATCGCGTTGTTCCCCGTGTGCAGTTTTTGTGTCGCAAAATGCCGGTTGCGTAACCAGCCGCGCCACGTGGAAACTAACGACCTGCACCTGAACAGACTTTAAGCTTTAAGTAAAGAAACCATCGTGGAGTCTCAAAGGAGGACACTCTTTTACATTACACTTGTCATCGAAATCGATAAGGACGTGTACAAAGTGCGCAATTTGCAGCAATTGTCTGTTGCGCGTACTAAAAGCATCGGTACAAACGAGCCGGGACAACAAACGGGGGCGGAATAAGTGTCCGTCAAACACAACTAGCTTTGCCAACCTATGAACAACTTCGAGAACTCTTCCTTAATTAAAAGCAACATTCGGCGGCACGGAGAGTGACGAAACGTCATTGTGACTTTACGCCCTCGCGTAAGCTTCTCGCGTTGGAAAAGAGAATGAGAAAATCCGTCGATGTTACGAGCAACGATGAGCAGCATTTTGCATCGGATTTCTCCATGTTTTGTCGCGCAACGAGCGTCACGAGCAACAAAGGAAACTATTATCTTCGCGTCGAACAGAAGGCGCGGAGCTGCCATGCAAAAGATCATAAAAAAAGGAATTCGAAACACACGTGCGAAGTAGGACAGCTGCCAATAAAGATAACACTTAAAATGTATACAAAACTGATTCGCCTATCACTTTGAGGAACCAGCTGTGAGCAATGTCACGGCAAACAATTACCGGAAATAATAACAACGCCGACAACAACGGTATTCCGCATATTCTGACCGCGCATTTAGCGCTGCATGTGTCCGTTCAATTTCTGCTTATCTTCGACAATCAGACGTTCGCATTTGGCGTTACGTGCGCGATCAGAATATCAGTATTTTTTTGCAAACAAAAAAGAGAAGAAAGAAACGTTTCAAGTAGGTAAACGTTACTTAACATCGTTTGAAGTGATCCCAAATGACAATCCACATTCAACAGTTAATATATAAATATATATGTATATAATTCGGGAATGCTCACATTCGATTCCGATCTTAAGTGCCCAGGTTTGTGTACACGCTAACCGAACACACGATTCACTAATACACAGGTTGAACAAACAAATTTAATAAGTATAATACAACCAGTTATGTGCCAAAAGACAACGAAAGTGTTTCGTACCGACATCAAATCATCAGCGTCTTTTTGTGTCAAACAAGAAGACTAGAATTAATTTCTCATCAGCGACCACACACACGGGATATATCTGAACGAAACGTTCGTGCTTGTCGTGTTCGGATATTGTGGTACGCAACAGTGTCATCGTCTTTCGAGAAAATACGCAATATTATAAAAATCTCTATAATATATCTATATAATACGCGTCGAAACAATAGAGACGATAAGCGATATTCACACTAAGCTATTATAAAAAAAAAAAAAATTCGTCAGTACCTCTCTTTTCACATTAACAAAAAACAAATATACGAAAAAATACGTAAAATAAACAGTTCATAAATAAACAATGACATCTATAGATAAAGAAAATATAACAAACAATTTTTTTTTCTCAACTCGATTCTGCGTTCCGTTAGATTCGGCTGTTCGTTTCGTAAATATCATCTTTTTCTTCTTCTTTTTCTTTTCTTCCTTTCAAACAGAACGTGCACATCGCGAAGAATAATTTCGATTTTGCCATCAGATTCGCATTTACTTAAAAATAGTACGACGCTGAATATCTCTCGCTCACGATCTCTGTCTTTCTCTCGCTCTTTCTCTCTCTCTCTCTCTCTCTCTCTCTCTCTCTCTCTCTCTGTTCACTCACACTTGCATTCTCGTCTTACTCTCATCATTACTCTCGCGCGTACAAGCAAGCCTTTTATCCGTGTGCTGAATCACTCGTCAGTCATACTCACATACTAAATGTTACTATATCATTTTACCAATGTTTGAGCCACACTCTAGTGTTTGTTTTACATTTCTTAATTCGGATAAGAGAAGTCCTCGCGCGGGAATTGGGGAAAGGGGAGCAGGAAGGTGGAAGGTAGAGAAGGTGTTGTTTGGAGATTCAAGTGTTCTTTCTTTTTTCTTCTTTTTGCTTGAACGCCGACGAATCGGCCGTGGCCACGCGAATTCAAGAAATACGTGTACGCGAGTTTGGCAAGTCGGGCAATGTTGTACTACTAATACACTGTGTGCTTGTTCAACTTTTCCGTAACTATATCTAATCGGTACTATCAATGTGATATAGTACATCTACGATAATGATAAGATCAGAATGAATAAACGACAGAGAAGTGGGAAGGGACAAGGGAAGGGAGAAAGAGAATGGGGTAGAATCTCGAAGGAGAAAGGAGGGGGAGAGGAGGGGAGGAATGAGGGGAAGCGTTATGAAAGTTATATGATATGATTACGCGTCAATTATTTATAGCATAATATTCTATAACCATATAGTTGCTGTAGCTAGCTTAGAGATAAGCCGAGAGAAAGCTTCATATGTGGACGGCGCCCGCACAATTTTTAGTCTAAAGTTTTCGTCTTATATCCCTAGATTTCTTTTCCCGACCCGTGCGAAAGATTTGAGAAGGGACCGTTTTCATCGATCGAAACACACCAACTACACTCAGTTCGCGTGAGATTCGCAGGAAGTACCGCGAATTACATTACCGGTTACATACTCTCAACGTGTTTCTCCCACCGACACTTCGAATTTCAAAACAAGTTAATCGTTTTTATAAAGTTACTCGTATACACATTGTACAAAATACGAAACAAGTCGTGTTCTAAGAATTTAACAGAACGACCTCAAGATAATTGTTTAACAGCCCGAACAATCTTTTCTTGGAATTCTCTTTGAGATAAGAAAAAAAAAGGAAGAAGAAACAGAAAGCCACGCGATCAATCAATTGAGGCAATTTTCTCGAGACATTTTTGAAGAGAATATCGTAGAAATGGCACATAGAAAAGAGAATGATACCGATCCTCATCGTCGATCCGTTTCTCAAGTCGTCCGCGGTCGACGCCTGACGTACACGCGCAAAAACACCCGCGCGACCTTCATACATGTCGATGTCATTCGCTTTATTCGCCACACACCACCACACTACTAATTAAGACTTAATGTATCATAAGTAGAAACTAATACGGCCGCCGTAAATCTCACCACCCCGTATTATACAAACTCCTCGGACTAAGTATAATAATAATTAATTATTATTACGCGCATTACGTATATCTCTAATTTGTCGGACGTATCGGCGCCGTCATCGCCGCAGTACTCGCTGCTGCCGCGTCATGAATAATTAACGTTGTCCGTAATTATAACATCAAAACATAACTAAGCAATAATGATAATAACTCATTAATAATAATAATAATAATAATAATAATAATAATAGTTCGTAAATAGAGTCATGTATAAAGCTTTTCTACAAATAGATACACCGATTCTCGGGGCTAACCGCGTCAAATGCGTTCCCTCTCTTTTTTTCTCCGATTCTACGATATCTTTGTTCCGTATACAGTGAGCCGGAATAAGTTTAGGGCGCGATCATACTTCAACATTCCGACAGGACAACCGAAAGATCCTCGGGCTACGGTCACAAAATTTACAACAGAATGATTCGTCTACTGTTTACGTGAGAACTGATTACGTGGATTGGAACCGATATACAACTATGCTTTGTTGTCCAATAATATTTTTTGTATATCTATATGCCTAGACCGCGAGCGCTGGCGTGAAATATGGTCCGACATATGGAGGTTATGTCGATAAGTGACAGACATTGTAGTACGCGCGTAGTCATGTATGTACAAGAACAACAGATAATAGGTACAAACGTCCAATTGCACAATTTGCCGAAACCTGCGAGTTCAACAATCGTATAGCTTTCGCAAACGATTACAAAACTCAAGATAAGAATACAAACGAAAATATGACGAGTTTAGTCGCGGGATTAATATAATTTTACATCGATATTAATCTATACAATTTTCAATTAATGTTGGCATATATAAATACTCATTACCATTATTACCGAAATATCACGGTCAATACTCTACAATTTACAATTACAATCATCAATAATTAACAGAGAAAAGACGCCTATGCTGACGCCTTCAAAAATGACATACCCCTATTTATCCGAAATTAAACGATACACTTTATCAAAATTGATATAAACGTAGTATATTTAGGATAATTTAGTGTAGCACAACTCAGAATCTATAATTCATGTATTACTTACTCGTTTTATACGTCAAATCAGCTTTTATCGAATTCGTGAAGTTCAAAAGTTAACTTTCTTCGGCATATTTTAAACAGCGGTAAGTATCATGATAATATTGAACTATTCTATGCGATTGTGGCTTTTTAAAACTGTTCCATTTTCATCGTTATCATTATTGCTACCTCGACGGTGCGGTTTGGAAGATTCAGTCTGGCTTTAAACCGACATACCTCTCGGTGTGTTCCGCGATCAACATAACCTTAATATAACAATACACTCTTTGCAATTCAGCATAACCTAACCTAATCTAACCCTACAATCTATTATTGTGCTTTGAGCCTTTCGTAAATATGGGATCAGTAAAAAAATTTAGCTCGATTTTGAAGAACATATGACTTTGTTGTAATATTGGAAAAAAATTGATCATCGATTAAATGATCGATGTTGTTGATCATTTGTTAATGTTCTGATATAATTGTAGAAGATGCCTGATTTACCATTCAAAAAGGCACAAAATCAAACCAATCTGACCCAATAATAAAACAAAAAAGATCCAATAATAAAACGAAAATACAAAAATAATATTATTTTAAATGTAATTTTTACGTATATTTTATATGTTGAAATGTATTAATAATTTTACATAATTTAACAATTGATTACTCCATATTTTTATTATATTCCGTACTTTTTAGTAGATATGTCGGTTTCGAAGCCTAATTTCTCAGACCCCGAATTTTCTTCACTTTATAAACAAAAAGCGTTCGTTTAAAAATTACAAATAATATCATAGAAACTACAATAACACACGATAGAAGAAAAAATCTGTAGTACGTATCTGCAACTATTAATTTCGATTTTGAGCTTTCAGTTAAATTATATCTAAAAACAAAATAACATGTCTGTGTTGGTGCTTTCCTTTAACTAACGCGATCATACATGATGGCCAATGCGAGACGCGCCGTTATAACGCCCCAGGAGGCTGTATCAATTTTCTACTGGAAGATAACACAATTTAAAGCATATTCCTTAAGCATTTTAACCATTTGTGCCGAGTATTTACCTCCCGTAAGTGCGACCATATTTCCGCGAATGCTCTCTCTCTCTCTCTATCTCTCTCTCTCTCTCACTCTTTTATTCGAATCTAATTTTTGCAAGACTGTTTCACCGTACGTACGCACGCATATATTATGTTCTACTCCATTCGTTTTCGTTTTGCACATTACACGTTAAAACATCATTATGTTTACGGTATGCAGGTAGGTACTTCGCTATGTGGGGAGATATTTACGTGAATACATCGTGTACGAATTCGCATGCGCAGCTTAATCATTACGTTACGTATGGGAATATTATTTATAGTAATATTTTTAGTTTAGGTAATTAGCGGTAAGGTACTAAATACGAATACGTTTCTCCTCCTTCCGTTTATATAGATTTGTTTTTTTTTCCTTTTGCTTTGATTTACGGACGTCTATTTGGAGTTGATCGTCACTATTATGCTTCTCTCATTGAGTTAGATTAACAAGGTTTCCTTTTCTCCCTCAATTTACGTACTTGTTTATACGTATTCTAAAACCTTACCGCGCTAGCAAAAAATTCTGCCTCGGTGCACGGTACAACAGATTTCTTTTCTTTGTTCATATATATTTATATATAATAATATATACTTATTACTTTTAATAATATATAATATGGTATTGTGTACAATATGATTTTACGTCGTAATAGGCGTACTAAGCGATCCATGCCATAGATCCTGACGTTAATTAAAAGAAAATTATGAATTTCATTTATATCTCACGCATAATATATCTCAATTTCCTTGATACCTGCTCAAATTAAAGAGAGAATCGGTTATAAATATATATGTGTATAAATGAATATATAATTTTTGCGCCTTCTCAGTAATTTTGATTTTGCTTTCAAAGCGTTTCAAATCAATAGCAAATAAATGCACTGCACTTCAGTGGCGATCCTTACAATATAATACTCTATAGATATAATTAGAAATAACGATTTATGCTCAGCATAAAATTGGATGGGGAATTTTGCGATAAGCAATCAAGATCTATGCACTGATCGCGCTAACATGGAGAGAAAAAAATAATTAGGTAATAATTTATATATCTCGAAGTTATTTCTTTTCATGTGTTTACCTTCTTTTTTTTTTACGAACTCTAAGTAAGTAATACCAACAACGGGTTCTATATCTATGGAAAGGTCTACCCTGACACCAAATTACGTATTTAATGTACTAAGAGTGAGATACTCGTCCGGTGGTGTGTCTCGTGTTTCTCGTATGAGAATGTACGGTTGTGTCTCCGTGTATCTTATTTTTGCCGCGTTTCAGCGCTCGTTCTCATGAAAGCCAATGTTTAAGCCAAAAATATCTAATATCGATAATCTGCGATTTTCAATAAAATGCCAACAATGATAATTGGAAATTGCATAACGATAATTAGTTTAATTCCAAATAGTTGTACAAATTATAAATCGAGGAGCTTTCTTTTAGCAAACTGAACAATTCACATTAATTTTGCATCACTGCAGATTAATGTGCATCCTGTTACAATAATGATAAATTGATTATAACTGTATGCTGACGTAAATGTGTAATTTTGCTCATTAACACGGCAAGATGATCGAGATAATTACTCTTTGTCGAGATCTTGACCAAGTTCAAGTGTATATTGTACAGTTATTACCGTCCGTTTCACAAATATTAAGCAATATTAAGAAAGATATACGCTTGAAATCTAACATTTGGTATGTTCACGACTCGTTATCTCGTTATTTAGTAGGTGAATATCGTTTGCCTTTGGATGACGATATTCGCGTCCTTTTTTTTTTTTTTTAATTGTTGGGCAAAGTTCGTGAATTCAACGACATTTTATTGCTCATGATAGGATAGTACTTTTACTCGCACTGGTAAAAAAATAAATACCCTAAATTTTTACAGTGTTGGATATAAAATAATTTGTCACTTTATTCATTAAATATTTCATTTTCTGTTATTTGTCCAAATTGACGTGTCGAAGTAACCAAACTAAATGCGCATTTTATTTCTCTTAGTAAACTTATATCTTTCTTTTTTGTTGCTGAGCCGAGCTACCGCACTGACAGAGATGGTTCAAGAAAGGATTATTCCGTAACATATTGAGTGCATTATTGTGCAATATTATATAAGGCCAGATAATATTCCAAGTAAAACAAAGTCAAATTTTCCTTTATTTTAAACCCCATATAGATAAAACTTGCAATAAATCGAATGACCAACGGCTGGTTCACGCGTTTGCCAGAAAGTTAAAGTTCGGAATATCTCAATAAAATCGTCTTTATGCGTGTGATAACACACCAAAGCATTTAACTAACTAGTTCGAGAGAAGTATAAACACCCACGAATACTGAATTCCTTCAACTAACGAAAAGCGACTTGGGGGATAATGATCGTGTACATCGGTTATTTATATAATTGTAACGTAATATCCAAAGAGAGTACACCCAAAGTCGGATACACCCAAAGTCTGCGCGAGAGATACGTTCGTTGCTCCAACGAGGGCGTCGCGAATTTTACGCCCCTTCTCTAATACCCCTTAGTGGCCGTACGGAGGAAGCGGAAACATCCACGTGATATTGAAGATTAAACGCTCGACAGCGGCACGACTGGCGTCTCCGCGCTTCTCTCTTTCCTCTGGTACGACAATTCATCGTATATAACCGCGATCGGATCTAGCTAGCCTTCAATTCGCCAATTCGCACGTACGAAATAGGTTAAGCGACAGATCGAAGACTAGCTATATCCTCAACTTCGTCCGTCGTTTCTCGCAACTGTACGCCGGTCCCGCTTCTACAGCACGGTCTAATTACTCCCACTTTCTGTGAGGGTACAATCAATTAATCGTAGTGTCGTCGCTGATAACTCAGTTGGCCGCTCAGCCATTAATCCTTCAATTGTGGCCATTCTAACTAGTCTACTCACCGACCTGACGTAATCGCTGGCTCACCGTGGCAGTATCGCGCCAGTCGTACGTTCATAACTTTATAATCGCAATGGCTCGTTGTGTAGCACCCGATTAACAATATACATTATATGTTCTAGGAATCAGTCACAGGCTGAGCCCCCAATACGAGGCGCAGGCACCACGTCGCTCTTCGGGGGCTAGCCAAGTAAGTACGTAGTTATATGCGGAGGGCGGGCGGGGGGGTGCGTTCGTTCTTTATGCTTCTCGAGTTTCACTACTGTAATCTACCTTTCTTTCTTTCTTCGTTAAAAAAAAGAAGAGAGAAAAAAAGAAAAACAAATCGACAAGGCATTCGTCGTACCTTCGTGTTTTGCCCAGAAGAATACCGCTCCTTTTGAATCTTCCAGATCTCTTAAAAGAAAAAAAACAATTCTCACTATCTTCTGCCTTGATACAAAACTGACGGTGACCGCATCCGCAAGGTTCTCTACGCGTACACCGTGTCACCGACTCGAGGAGGAGGATCGCAATAACCTTCGCGTCGGATGTTTCGTACCTGTTTTTTCGCGCGCGAAGATGAGAGGAGGAGAACTCGGGGTCTTCTATGCCGATCTTACCAACTACTTCGCATCGGTGTTTTCGTCCAGGCCGCTCCAGTCTCTTGTGTCTTCCTTTAAAAGAAAGAGAGTCGGCTCAGTAAGGTATCCTATGTGGGTACCTTACTGACTGCCTTCAGAAGATCGCTTTGCGTTTTGTCCAGGCCGCTTACGTGATGCTGCTGCTGATGCTGGAGGGCGGCGCTTTGTTGCTCCTGCTGCAACTTGGCCTGTTTCTCTGCCTGCTGCTTCTTCATCATATCTTGCTCCTCGCGCTCGCGTCTAGCTTGCTCGTTGATCTCTTTCACTGCCCTCAGCTCCTTCTTTAGCTTCATTCGTCGATTCTGGAACCAGATCTTGATCTGTCGTTCCGTCAGGCAGAGCGCATGCGCAATCTCTATTCGCCGTCGTCGCGTCAAATAGTGATTGAAGTGAAATTCTTTTTCTAATTCCAATGTTTGGAACCGCGTGTACGTTTGCCGGCCTCTGCGCCTCGGACAGCCGTTCGGACCTGAAAATGTTAAGAAATCTGATTTTTGAAGTCTTTCGATAATTTCTAGGTATCTTGAAAAGTTATTGTCACATTTAATTTATCAATAAGCATGTCTTTTCTACGGCAAACTGTAAGGTTGATGTACAAATAGAAAAACAAAATAATATAAACAAAATAATATAATATACTATATACAGTGAGTATAAAAAGTATTCGTACACCAGAGATTGTCTTGACAAAGGCTTGGCGTACGAATACTTTTTACATTCACTGTATATATGTAATATACATATATAAAAGTATAATGTACTATATGTAATATAAAAACTACCAACTGGCAGATTAAGAAATTTAGGGAAATTAAGAAATTTTTAAGCTAGATACCTTTAATATGAAAAAATACAATTTACATTTCATAACATATATATATACTCCATATTTCAGTAAAAATAAGTATAAATTATATCATATACGCGGTCATTGCAAAGCGGAAGGGCTACTTCGTTGAATCCAATAGCATTTTTCTATAACTAAAAGTACTCTGTCTGCGGTAAACGAATACTTTTCACATCTCACCGCAAATCTGAACTCTCTCTCGCACTTTCTCTCTGAGAAAAACGACGTACTTTCGACTCCTATCCTGTTACGAGGGTTAAAAAAGGGATGGACAAAAAAACGAAAGTTTCCCAAAAGCTCTCACGTAAATTACTCACAACGAACCCCTTTTCTTGTAGTGGTGTTTTATACGTTTGGCTTCCTGCCTAGGCTTTCTTCCTAGGAGACACGACATAAAAAACTGACTTCGTGTTTTTTACGGAATTTAGGTAAGGATTGAAATTCACGGCGCAACATAAAAAACTCAGGTAAAAAAACATCGCTTACCAAAAAACATACCTGCGAAATAAAGGAGAGGACTGTGCTGAATCGAATTCTTGCGACAGAAAAGACTAATCGTAACTAAACGGTGTTACGCATCGAATTTTACGTGTTCGTATGTCAAACATGTTAAATGTATTTAAAATAAAAACAATAACGAGTAATAACCTATTAACGTTGGTAGAATAAGTATGACTATGCTTAAGATGACTTCTTCATGTAATAACGATACCGTTCAATTCTGGACAATGTATTTTCGCAATCAATTTAAAAATAACTTCACTTTCGGTTGTCGCCACAGGAAAGGAGCGTCTCTTTTGAGGATCGCTAAGGAACCGGTTCCTTAGTGCAAAGAGTGGACAGCCATAATACCATCATTCCCAGAACGACGCTGAGTGGCCATATTATTACCTCGTGATGTAGCAAATGTGTGCTACTGACCAATAAAAGATAGCAAGATTTTTGTTACGTATCATTTTATGAGAATGCGAGGGTTGTATAACACGTTAAAAAGTGTGAAATTGTTGTGTTGGTAAAAAAAAATTTGGGAGAACATGTCCATACACACAACAAATTATAGCAATCCATCGAAAATAACATCTATTATATGTGACAATACTCTATTTCTTACTTAAAATGGAAAATTTTCTTTTAAGGAAAATTTAATTCGTGGTTTAATTACCCAGACAGTACAATGTCCAAAATCGGGTCACAAGACGTCTTTGAAACATCTTTAAGACATCTTTAAGACAAGTTTATAAGGTATTGTCTTAAAGATGTCTTAAAGACGTCCTAAAGACGTCTTATGACTCGATTTTTTACATTTGTGCTGTCTGGGTAGTGAGATATCTGATACCAGAAATTAAAAAGCTATATAAAAATAATGTTTATTTAAATTCTTATTAAAAACTAGCTTTGGATTGATCAAAAGAATCAATTTTAGTGGAAAGGAAGCATCCAATGTGACATTTCATATAATAATTAAGTCTATAATGTAATATTTGTTTGTAATATTTATCTGTTGAATACTCACGATTACCCGCAATTTCTACTTAGATTACAGGTATTACTACTCGTTATCATTATATATGATTCGTTTACTGCTCGTGGGATATATCAAGGAATAAGATTAATAGATAGGGAGGATATTACCTATGGCAGATTTAAGTGAGTAGCACCATATTTTCTATCTTCTGTCATAACGATAGCTCGTGCTATAGCGATCGGGTACTCAAATGACACGCACGTGCGCAATTTCCGATGCAGGATGACCCATCAAGTACGTATCGCTCCGGACCGAGCAGAAAACTCTTGGAGAATGCAGAGAATGCTGATATTGAATTCAGCATGGCCGTTCTCGGCAGTGCGGTCCAGGTTTGCGTGAGTGTGCCCGCGTGTACCTGAATCAGCGACCACACTCACGAATCCCACTTCCATCTGCGTGCGTGTAGAAGCCGGTCGTGTCTGTATTGGAGGAATCAACGCGGTTTTTAGAGTACTCGTGTGCGTCAGTTTGGCACACGTACGTCTGCTGCAGCCACGGGGTGGTTACCGAGGCCCGAAGGGTGGGACATAGGTTACCTTGGCAACCAGAGGGGAAACCATTCCATCCTGCTGGCGGCATATCACGCGAGAGCAAGCCCAGCAGCCAGAAAACCCTTCCTTGCATCCTCCCTACCGACCCTAGGAACCCACCACGCCGGGTCTTGGAAGACGGGTGAACTTGATTGCGCCCACTCCATTCGCCATAAATATGGCCCATCGGCGAAGTGCTGGCGCGAGCATTATCAATAATTTCGAAGAAACTAATGCCGTTGCCAGAATTTATTTGGCGAGAATAAAGTTGCTGAGATAGAAGCTCACCTAGCTTGTAATGTGCGCGTGGTTATGTATTCGGTTGGATATACACACATTTAAAAATAGTAAAAACCTGAATTTCCCAAAATCACAATATTTCTACAAATTATGAGTATAAAGGATAATACATGTAGTTAATTAATCTGTTTTTCATATGAGAAATTCCGCGATCGTTGGGTTTGTCCCATAAAGGGTTCATATACGGCTATAAAAGGTAGATATCGTTTATCGTATGAAGTGTTAATTAACGTTTCGTGTTAATGAGATGCCAAAACAAATAAATTACGATTAACTGTTGATGACCCATTGCCACCAAGAACGATACAGTGTGACGCGCACACAGAAGTACGCCATCGTGAATATGGCCAGAGGCCTGCGTCTAATTACGTCCATATACCAAGTTTAATATTTGCTTTAAGTCTGTTTTAGTACAGAGCTTGGAGTATAATAGGGAATATTGTGGAAGTTCATCAGATAATACCCGCTTTCATACGATGCTGCTGTGTATCTGAATTTCAACGAATCATTTCCATCACGTCATTCGATTCATATGGCTGGCAAACAGTGAACATGAATATTCGTGCACAATGTGTTCGTTAAATAATAAAGCTGACTTTGTTTCGGACACCCTGTGAGTAGATTTCAGAAACAGTGCACAGTTGTGACCGCAAGAGTGTGTTCTTTCTAAAGAAGACATCCTCATCTAAACACACTATCTCCTTCCACCGTCACAATCTTCTTTATATAAACACAATCCTAACGTAGCGTCAAGAAAGATCATCCACCAAGTGGTGTTAGTAACCTCGCGCTGTCAAGCACTGTGAATTAACTTTTATAGTCTGTTATCTGCATCAGATCAATTGTAATAAACATAATTTTCTACTGAATGATATTAGTTCCAGAAGTATGTGATGCAAGGAAATTGCTATTGTTATCTGCGACAATCGCCATTAAATATTCAATGTGCTACAAACCGTTTTAGCGAGAGTAGCGTGACATCGAGCGAAGGTTCGTCACTCGAGAAATGCTCTACACGTAGTCGGAGGCGCATCAGACAAGTTCCAGAGCGTCGCGACGTCGCCACAACACGACAACTAACTTTAACAACACCCGCAAATCGCGAGCCTCTTCGCGTTTAGGCATGTCGCCTTACGGCCTAAACTCTCTTTGTTCGATTGCCGGAGGGACCGGAGCCCCTCACCAATCCATTCATAAATATCTCAAAACGGCTTAATTTCGCGGCGCTGCGGGCGAATAAAATCTCGAGTCGGTGAAAAATGTAGACAGTTCGCCAGATGGAAGAGAGTGGAGAGGTGGGGCGAGAGGAGATACGGCGTAGCCACGACCCACGACTCGCTTGATCGCCGTCTCGGGTCACTGCAGCTTCTGCCAGAACGACAGAGTTGGAGAACCGAGTAGGAGGCATGCTAAAGGAGCGAGAGAGAACATAGGTGGAATGCGAGTCTGAAAAAAACAAAAGAGAGAGAGAGAGAGAGAGAGAGAGAGAGAGAGAGAGAGAGAGATGTAGATGAACGAGAGGGATGGACAGTGCCGAGGAGGAAAAATGCCCACGATAACTCCGTCGTTCATTCCGTCGCGGTTCCAGTTCCGGAGACGATTTATGCGGCTAATCCCCGTACTTTTCTTGCCCACATCTCGCCTCGTCGCTAGGTATCCGGTTGAGCGATAATTCAAGCCTGTTGTTGGCCGGCGATTATTTAGTTTCATTAGACACACCAGACGCATCGACGCTCCGTCTGACGTTCATTAAATTCGGAGCCTCTCTTTACGGCGGCGACCCGGTCCGTGAGTCTCCCAGGGCGGTGCTGGTTCGCCACGGTTGGCGCGGTTATCGAAGGCGTAAGTCACGCGAAAAATTCAATTGCTAGAGTCCGGCTGATCGGGGGACTCGCGTTAATGTTCGCGCAAAATGCTGCATACGCGGGGGAATTTGTAGATTATGTTATAATTTCCGTTCTGATAACGCGCCAGGTTTTTCTCCGCCGCAGCCGGAGAATGGTTCTGCTCTCGATGCTTATTGCCAAGCGTCAGTACGTGGCCGATACCGCCACGGGAAATGCATTAATGTAAATTTTATGCGAGCTGCTGTTCGCAGGTAATTATTGTAAGCGGTACACGAAAGGGGGGCGCCGATTAAATCTACTCGCTAATTTAAATAAGACGCTTTGACGTGCAAATTCTTCGTTTTTTTTAACGCTAACCTTAATGCTTAATTGGGCAATTTTATAATACGAGTGTGCACCGCCGTAAACGGCACGCTGCTT